ATGAACAATACGCTTATACCATATTTGGAATGCTGAGCACCAGGACTTCTCCCGTAGTGGCGGGAATGATATCAAAGATGGCTGACATCGAAGCAAGTTTTATGGAAGGGGCAGAAAAGGTAGGTTTGCGTCAAGATACCTAACTGTTTTTAAAAAGGTTTGTTTTAAATAAAGTTCATTAATCGAATCAAAATTCAAGTATTGGATCGAGTCTTGTTTTGAATTTTCTACTCTTCACTTGAATAACGGACTATTGAAACGAGTAACGAAATCAAATTTCCTATAATGAACTCATTCATTCACCCTTGGCAGGAACGCTTGAGCTGTTTTGACTGTAACCCATCGTCGCAGGATACCTCAAGATGAAAAGCAAAAGAGAGAAAGTACCCTGAGTCTTTGAAAGTTGCAACTGATCGTAGCGATTTAAATGAAACTTTTACTAGAGATAACACATTTGAAAAAGAATCTTTGATCAATTCCTCCAACTGCGTACAATGCAAGACGCGCGACTATGCGTGCGCCCAGCTTAGTTTCCAAGTCTCCTCGTTCGTCGCGTGACGGATAGCGTGACGGATAGCGTGACGGATAGCGTGACTAAATATTTTTGACAGGAAAAACATAGAGGCATTCAGTGGTATAAATCCGCTTATAATATCTTACCACCCCAGAGTAACCGTTTTACTATAAGGGCGCTTAAAGAGAGCTAAGATAGGAAAAATAACAAGACTTTTTTTTGCCACATTTCCGCGTGGGAGCTCTCTCTGGTTATTCACGTACGGCCAAAAATGCGAAGGTGAAAACGCAAATGATAACATCTTAATGACTCCTTCAAAAAATTAACACCTTGACACAATGGACCACAGATAACTCAAGTTAATTTCTACAATAAAAACGAGATATAAAGACAAATGTTAGCTTCCGCTTTGTATTTACTGAACCATACAGGAGCCCATCTTGTCTAAAGACATAATTGCTGTACATATTTACAGTTAAAAGTCCAGTCTATAATCTCATAATGTGTTCCTATATTTTGTACAAGTATGCAAATCAAAGTTCATCCCTGCTGTCACGGGGTCTTTACACTCTTTACGAAACTGAAAGGAATTAATACATCGGCAAAGGTTCGGATCCTACTTCGCTCTAGCATCATCATGGCTATTTTCTGTATTTGTCGCTCACAGCTCCACACATAAAAATAAATAAAATAAACCCCGGGTATAAATTAAAGTCACGAGGACTCACTTAAGTTTCCTTACGTGAATAATCACAAAATTAAAAAGCAATCAAATGTATGATATTCACATGTATCCGTTGCTGCCTACAGGTTGGATATCTTCACCATGGCGAGGTCACGGGTGTCCAAATTTTGACATCTCGGTAACCAGTGATTTGATAAACACCTCGAAGCCGGAAAATTTCGCGTGATTTCGGCACTAGTCTTGGGATTTTGCAAGCAGCAACTAATCCTTCGTCAATATGCGAATCACTGGAGTTTCTTTGATGGCGTTTTATGATCCTGTAATTGTTCTTCGACCGGGTTCTTCCTAGTTATTTCCTTGTCTCCCGTTTCAGTGACACCACTGCTTTTCGGTTGCCCCTCGTTCTCCTTCGGAGGCTCATTAACTTCAACCCATTCGTATTTCGTTCCTTTTAACGGTTTTCCTTCCTGAAAATCAAAGTCATATTTTTCGTTCATCTCTCGAGCATCCTTATTTAACTCTCTCTGTAAATCGCTCTCTAGTTGTTGATGGTCTGGACGCCCAAAGAGACATTTTCTAGCTTTGCTAGCTCCTGGATTCATCGAAAAACGTTTGATGTGGCTTAAGGATATCGAACCTCCTCTGGATCGAAACGTTTCCTCGCTATGTCGAATTTACCCTTGATACGGGTTTTTATAGACTTTAAAATTCATGAGTGTCTATAACCGCGCCAAAATGAAAGTGTACGTCACTACGTCATCAGCCGGTATACTGCTTATTATGCGTTACGCCTGGGCAAGCTTGAACGTGTTCTCGACCCTTCCTTATAAATGTACTTAAAAATTTACAATGTAAATAATGAAGATGTGAACAAATTTACGTCATGTCTTTAATCCGAATAAAAAGGTGATTTGATTCTGTTGAAAAGTGAAACACTGTGCATGATTTGTTATCTCAATTTCAATCGGCTCTCAAGCGTGAGAAACATGTTGTCCCACGCTTTTGTACAGTTCACTTCACTTTCACTCTTTTGCTGTACTCATAACGATTAAGGTCAGCACACCAGGGAACATACGGGGGGACAAGTCTCCGAAATTAGTCCCTGGGACAAGTCCCACTGTGTTGACTACCCAATCTAATCGCAGCTGACCCAAAATGTGGTCAGTCCCTTGCTGTAAGGGAATTGCCGTAGGGACTAATCCCTGGGACTTCTCCCTTCGTGTTTCAAACCAAAACTGCACTTTAAACATGTTTGAATGGTGTCTCCGGCGAGGATGAGCTTCCAGCGGAAATAAAATTTGGCGGGAAAATACGACAGCTGGTCTGTTTGTACTTTAGTGTCCTTGAAAATCGAGTGAACAATTTAAAGCAAGACCGGTCTTGCATTTATTTTGGCACTGTACAAGCTGCAATGCGTCGTCATTCAATGAAATGTTAATTTAAAATCGATGGGCATTTTTTTTCGCGTGGACGATCAAAGGACAAACTAGAAAGGAGGATTAAAACCAAAAACACTTAGGATATTTTGTCAAAGTACTCAAGTTCTTGAAAGCTTCGTACTTCCTAGAGATGTTTTCTTTGGGAAGGTAAATAATATTTTTGAAGTAACAGACTATTGACAATGTTGTTTACATTACGTGTGGGGTGCATGTCTGAAGCGAGTCACGGTATGCTATTTCAAAACAACGCTTGTCGACTTCTTCTATCAAGAAATAATTATGTTCGATAGAAAAGAATCCTGCAATATAACACAAAAAGGCTGAAATTCAAATCTGAGCAGTTAAAGTTCAATTTAAAAGGAAAATGTTTTGACATCATCTGTGGTATCATTAACAGTACATGTGCGTGTACACGGAAAATATAATTATTTCCTCTCCGGGCAGGTTTCAACTTGTTGCAAACTTTATAAACAATGCAGATACGAAAAATACTCTACGAAGTAATGAAAATACCACCAGTGCATGTGTGCGTGACAACGAGTTCAGACTTGTGTCTGCGGAGAGTTATTTTTAGCAGTCCAACTTGCAAGTGTTTGGGCCGAAAAACTCCATGAAAACTCTGATCTGGAACAAAAGGGTTTTGAGTTCTAAATTGACTTGATCATGTGCAGCACTTAATTTTAACTGAATTTCCTCTGGGATGTCACGAATAGTTTTTGCTGACCTTGGCAAAGTTGTCATAACTCTATTTATAGACGAAATTCTTTCACAAATATTTGTACAAGGGACAAACATGTCTACACACTCAGCGAGTCTCGCTTTCATGAAAGGGCTTAGTGAGAGACTGGAGTTGAGAAATTCAAAACATGGCGGCAAGTACTGCACTGGAAAACAAACTGATTCCCTCTTACTGTCCAATTCGGAAATCTCACGAAAACCTTTCTATAAACTTCGAAGTTTTGAAATTTCTTCTCAGCACCGATAATCAGTAATGGAAGTTCGGAAATCGTCAGTATAAAAGCTCATCGAAATCAAATTTGCTGTTGTTTATGAATTTTGCTACCCTGCGGACATAGCCGCTTCGATATCCAGGAAAGATCGAAGCTACTCTGCTAGGAGGGTAAAATTTTGGAGTCGTATTGAAATTCTTTTCTGTTGTGTTTATAACTGCAGGGGTGATCCATTCGAAGTTGATCCCTTACCAAAGTCATTTTACTATCCATCAATGCAAAGAGAGTTGTCTGAAGCCGAGAGAAAGGTAAGTCTATAAAAATCTTTTCAAAGGATCATGGGCGCGCTAACCTGTCGACCCGCGGTACATATGAGTGATGATGTACGTAGCTGAAAATTTTTTTCAGCTAAATATAAGCAGAAATGTAGACGATGTAGATTTATTGAGCCGTCGTCAGCTTAGTTATCTTAAAACTTACTTCTTCGCATGTAAAGCGCAATTGTTATCATATAGTGAGGCTGTGTTCAAACTTGGTGACTGACTACTGGTGCCTGGGCTCCCAACACAAAACAGTATTACGTTCAGACGCTGGATACTCCAAAGACCCAAGTACTCAAGTACTATTTAGCACAAGCAGTCTCGTTTTATAACTTTCCCATCCTTTACCATGAAGTAAAGAAAAAAAGACAAAAAGAAAAACTCTGGTATCTAACTGAGTGTACATATTAACTGAGTTTACTGGAGATCAAACATTCCTTTTAGATTTGCCTTAGTCCTGACCACAAAAAGGAAGGTCACATGAAAAGCCCAGCTGATGAAAAATTCCTTCAACACACCAATCACATCAAGATACATGAAATACCTACAAGAGAAAATGGAACCATAGACCCTGACCATTCTTCCTCATCCAAGTTTGACGAGTCCTGGCCAAGCACTGAGAGAGCATTGGTATCTACACCTGAAGCAGACAGTGATGGTACAGAGATATCAAAGACTCCTTCTAGTGAAGGAAGAGATTTTCCTTTACGTGCACATCCTGACTCCACTTTAGCCAGGTAGGCTCTCTGTATTACTCTTTGACTTACCCACAAGCTGAGCTACAAAAGCTGCTGAGCTACAAAAGCTGCTGAGCTTGGAGCGAGAAAAAAATTTCTTTGGCCCTCATGCTAGGGCTACCTACAACCCTGAAGTCTTTAAGAAAGTCGTCATTACTGTAAATTGGGTTGTAACACTTTTGAAGGTAGATGCCAAATCATAATCTGTACATGTACTTTTGAGAGAAACATTGTCATTGACAGTAGCTGCTTGTAGCCAGTTTGGCTTCTGAGTAGCACTTGGAAATGTGCATCCTAGGAAACTCAGGGGCAGAGAGTTCGATCTGGAGGAGGTCTAACGGGCAGAGTCTGACACATACATTTCAAAAGTTTTAGTGGGAGTTTAGCCACAGACAGTGTAGTCTGAATGTCTGTTACAGCACAGCCAGTGAAAACTGATTGCTGCTTTGACTAGTCATTAGGGTGGAAGCTAAATAGCCAGTCCTAAAAATGTAAGCCACTCTACTACTGATAGAAGATGATGTTTATTTCCCTCATCATGAAAAATTATTGTATTGTGATTTGCCGCAGGTACATAGATCGTTTCCGTAATGCCCCACCATCCAGTCGTCAAGAACGTGACCATACATATTTTGACAGTGGTAAAGTAGGAGAATTCTGGTGGTTATCTCCATCTCCTCCCAGTAGCTCAACACCTAAAGACGGAACCCCCCCTGACCAGCAGCTGCCTTCCCCACGGCCAAGTCTGTCACCAAAACTGAGGAGAAGCATGTTCAGGAGGGGAAAGACACCGACATCTCCAACATCAGTAAGTGTATCTTCACAGATCATCGTTTACAGGTTACGTGTATGATTGTCATGTCAATCTGTCATTTACCTCAACAATGATGGCTGGGCATGGGGAAGGTGTCTGTAAGGTTGGTGGAGCCAGGTGTTACATGCTGAATGTAGAGGGTAACCATGACAACCCTGTGAACAGCAACCATCAGGCAATGTCACACTGAAGTCTTAAATGAGAGAGGATGGCCAAATACTTACTGTGTCAGTCTACATAACCAGAGCAAAGTCCTTTGAGAGCAAAGCATTCAGATGAAGCTGAAACTTCAAACAACATGAGAGTTGTAAACTCATGGGACCTCCTGCAAAACCATTTGGCTACCTCACATCAAGAGAGGGAATCCACTGGCCAATGGTAGTCTTGAGTTTAACTTAGCCTGAATTATGTATAGCCACAGTCATCTTAATATGTTAATAAATAAATGTTATTAATAATTTCAGAAAACCAAAAGCACTTCATCTCCTTCAATGTCCTCTTTTGATGGTTTGGACACAAAAACTGCTGAACTACAACAAAGAGCCAAGGCACTGCTTGAAAAAAGGTTTGACTGACTACAGTCCGTATATTTTGACAAAAAAGCACATTAAGCATGTGGTTATGAACTGGCTCAAAGTTCCCTCCGGTCCATCAGACAGGCAATGAAGTCTTGGGCTTGTGAAAATTCACCACACCTGATTGGACATTTTAATTTGTAAAATCTTTACATGTAATCCTGTCATGATAGTCAAGTAAATGCCAGGGGTTTCATTAACATTTTCAGCAAGAGCATAACTGGTTTTCACAGGTGGCAAAACTTTTTAAACTGAACTTCTCTATAAGAAAAACTTTCCACTAGAGGAGGCGCGGTGGCCTCATGGTTAGTGTGCTCGTCCCCAGATCGAGTTGTCCGGGTTCAAGCCCTGGCTGGGGACACTGTGTTGTGTTCTTGGGCAAGACACTTAACTCTCGTAGTGCCTCTCTCCACCCAGGAGTATAAATGGGTACCGGCAAACTTAATGCTGAGGGTAACCCTGCGATGGACTACCATCCTGTCCAGGGGGGAGTAGAAATACTCCTAGCCGCTTCATGCTACAGAAACTGGGATAAGCTCCGGCAGCTATGAGCCAGTCAGCTCCAAGGCTTCACTTTTTCCACTAGAAGATCAAACCAGGCGAGCAAAATCATCCTCATGGCAAGCCCTTAATGAAACCCCTGAAATGCTGTAATAAACATAACATAAACCAACTACTCAAAGTGCAACACAACACAGTAACAGTTAAATTTTTACCGCAAAGTAATGTTTTTACACAAACTGCAATATAACAATTTTGGTTATTTTCCCATAAATTTGTTATTGCAGGATTTCAGTGTCTGTCACACAAATATTCCATAGTTAGATACAAAACAAATTACACAAACATTACATACCATCAATACAGTACAAAACAAATGCTTTTTTCCAGTTGCTTGGCATGTCATTATTTATATATTAAAATTCCACTATAGTTGTGTCTACCTAGAAGGGAGATCTAAAGCGCTGGTGTGAGACATGGAGCTAAATGTACTCCAACTGCCTAATTTAGAATGGTAACTAATGGTTTCTGAGTTAACAAGAAGTTTACTGTTTGTAACTACCTCTACATTGCAGTGAGAGCACTTTGGACACTTCGTCAAGTGAGGTCCACAGACCAGTAAGAAGAGTGAAACAGGGTCCTCTTGAACAGAGGGCTCTAAGAGAGGCATCACCTCAGCAACCCTCATCAATAGCACCCAGGCAATTTAAGGACCATCAACGGATGCAACGTCAACCTCGTCCTACCCCTCCCCCTGAGGAAGATATTTTGTATCAGTGGAGGTTGGCAAGAAAAATGGAAAGAGCTCAAGAACAGGTAGCAAAGTGGGGCCCAGCTAAGGGCACCCTCCCAGTAGGGTCTTCACGACCTCAAATTGCACCCAGTGGAGCAAAATTACACCCACACGGTTTATCTGGTGGAGTGGGAATTCTGCCACCCACCTCAGCCCCACTTTCCTCATCACAGGTGGACTTTGCACATCAGAGACCAGAATCACAAGTATTAGCTCCTTCAGCGATACCTGTAGTACCAGATGGGTCAGCTAGTTTGTCAGCAAGGACTCAAACGACCTACACCACTACTATGGCAGTTATGCCTGGCCTCCAGGGGACTTCCTCTCTGATGGTTCCATCTCAATTAGGCATCTCTCAACCACAAGAGCCTGCTTCTAGCAGTCCATTTTCCCAGCTGGATGTAGGAACATCACCTCAAGTACTTACAACAGGCCTAGAACCATCCCCTGCTCTCACCACAAAAGGGACAGAAATTTCAGGGCAAATCCGTCCACTAGTCATAGAACAGGACCAATTTAAATCTGCCAATGTACCATCTCATATGCATCTTTCATGTGATATTTTACCGTGCCCTCATCAAAGAACTCTTATTGAAAAGGCGAGGTCTGATCAAACAGTAGAATTACCTCTGAGCTCTCCAGTAGTTGAATCAATGCTAGAGAAACTGGATGTCACAGAGAGAGATATTGACAGGGTCCAGAAACCAAAAAGAAAAACAACTAGAGAAACTCCTGACAAAGCACAGTTTGAGGACCTTCCAAGGAAAAGAAATGGAACTAAAGAAAAAGAGCACAGGATTACTGCTGGGCCAACAGATTCTGAAAGAGATGAGCTAAGAAGAAAAGAAGTTTGGAAAAGAAAGCCAAAACCAAAAAGGGAATCAAACCAGGAGCCTACAGCCAGTGATGTGTTGGCTGGTGTTATTGGAGAGGTGATGAAAAATTATGTATATAGCCCAAGAAACCGGTTTAGCATCCAGTCAGACTCCAATCAGGGAGTAGGAAGGAGAAGGAACAGTACTATGAGTTACTGTTTTCTTCTCTTTTACCTTCACCCTTTCCATCCTCATCTTATCTCCTTGGCCCCAGTTGTTCAAAGGCTGGATATTGCTATCCACAGAAATACAGGGGTTTTATTAAGGGCTGGGCACTGAGCAAACTGACTGGCTGTGAGAACAATTTTGCCAGCCTACTTTGATCATCTAGAGGAAAGTTTTTCTTACAAAGAAGTTCAGTTCAAAAAGTTTTGCCCGCCTGTGAAAACCAGCTGCCCTTCCGCTGATAACCCTAATGAAACCCCTGCAGGATAAATCACTATCCAGTGGATAGGTGCTGACAAAACAAACCACGCTATCTGCTAGATTGTGATTTATCCTGTGGAAAGCATTATCCACCTAGCAACCTGGGCCTGATTAGCCAGGAAATATTGTCTTAGTGTAGTGCTAACTTAAAAAAGATGTTTGACAATCAGTGATGAGAATAAAAATAATTATTATCAGTAGTATAAATCTACTAGTGTTCTATCTCAAATTTCATTCTCTGATTGGCTACGCAACTCACTATCTATTCTGTTGTTGATAGTGAGTAGCCTAGCCACGTGGGCTTGTTCATAAACTGGTGGCAGCCCCTTCTGTCCACTTTTGAAGTGTCTGTAAAGAGGATTTACATAAAGTTTTGAATGACTAGAAACAATTAGATTATTCGCTCTTGATTTCTATATTTGATTCATGCCATAGAAATCTCAGGCTCATAATCTAATTGTTAGCCCATTGACACCTGGAGCTTTTTGACAAAGATGCATTTTTGGACATTTTGGACATTTTTGGCCTGGATGAGCTAAATTAGCTCCAATTTAATCAGAAAGGCATTTGCAACAATACAGCATTCCTTCCTTTCTACTAGCACCACGTTTTAGTGTCATTTTTGCTTGGACATGCACAGAAATAAAAATTTCTAGATAGTTTTTTTGGCCTTTCCTTTATCTCCTTTTCCTATCTTTTTGCTGCAGTTGTTGACCTTCTACAAGGCTTGCTTCCAGTTGAAGAATTCCCGAGAAAGCATCATCGAGATGGGACATTTTTACCATAGAGTAGCCAAGTGTAGTTGAGGGAATCTTTCACTCTAATTTTTAAGAATTTTTGTGCATATTTCAGGCTCAATTGACCCAATCACTCTTATCTGGGTATCATTGGAAAGATCTTTTCCTCCTGCATAACTTGGGTATAAGTGATGCCAATTTTGGTCGAAGGTGATGACATCAGAAGTGGAACAAAGGCTAATGCTCATCATGGGGGGTTACAAGCAGCACAGGCGGCAATGGGTTTAATAGTACATTATTGTATTTTGAAAACACTCCAGGAAGGTTGCAGCATCCCACAGACATTCATATTTTTCCATTTCTGACCTTTTTTTTTTGTCATTTCAAGGTTGTCTCAGAACGACTGTTCTCTACCCCTCAGTCATCTAGCAGCAGTTTGACTGGAAGCAGTGACAGTCAAGGACCACTACAACCTCAAGAACCTCATTACAGAGCCCATGGTGAGAACAGGAAATGAACTTGTGCAAAAAATTTGAAATTCATTGTTATTCATTGTGTGAGAACTGAGTCGTGTCTGGTTGTCTGCTGAGTGGTAGTAATGGGAGGGTTCGCATGCACCTCGACGGAAAAACTTGAAAAAGATCAAAATATTTTCTTCAACAGCACACTGTGTCCTGGAATGTTCTTGAAGAGTCCCTAAATTTGTAACCCAAGAAATAGTACTAACCCTGTATTGGCTCGTCTTTAGGTCCAGAAGAAGATATTACTCAAAATGGAAGCTCAGATGATGAATTCTCTGATGATGAAATGTTAAAGATGTTACGACAACAAGCAAGAACTTATAGAGAACAACTTCAGTGAGTTTTGATCATACAAATCAGTCTGACATTTTATATGTTACTAATCTTCCTGAATGTCTTCTAAACTTCCTCTTAGCAGGTTAAAAAAATTGAATAAACAGTAAAGTAATAGTCTCAATCTAATAAGAAAATAACTTGCTCTAATCTATTTGTTTCACAGACAAATCGACTACATCTTGAATCAACAAGTTGCAGGCCAGCCAAATCCACAGAACCCAAGAACAGATGTTACAGCTTTGAATTATTGAATAGTTTTCAAAATGATGTAATAATAAGTTATTAATAAATTATTTATTATAATGTACAATAAATAAATTATTTTTACATTCTGTAATTCAATGAAGCCCTGTCTGTTTCTTTTGCCACATGTAAGATAGCTACTATAATTATTATAATTATATTATTTCCTCATGTAAATACTGGGATCACCCAATTAACACTCAACCTTGTGGACCAATAAGCATTTATTGGAATGTGGCACTCACATTTTTTTATATTAGGACCCAGAATAAGAGAGTATGGAGTGAAGAGGACAAAATGTTTGAGAGGAGTGAAATTAAACTCAGTGCCATGATAATTATGTTGGCTTGTTGCATGAAGATTTTTCCTTCAAAGTTCATTAATTTTTGAGGATTAACATCACCATGTTGTTGCATTGTCTCAATTATCATCACATTTCCCTCCAACATGATGTTAGTTTAAAATGTTACATCAGTACCCATCCCACGGAAAGTTTTTTTTTTATTTTGAACCCTCCTAACCCCTAGAAATTCCAGTTTAGCTTCATACTTTTCATTAAAAATTTTGGCTTATGAAAACTGCCTTTCCCCCCCCCC